CATCGGCCAAGAAAGCTGAAAATAGTGTCCTGCTTAATCATTCTCAATTTCCTCTTTCATTCTCTTAATTTCTTCTCACTCATAGCTCGACAGCCTCCAGCCAGGGAAAATGTGTAAGGAATCAAGCTCACCTAATGGCGGAGGCCAAGTTGTTAGCCTCTTTCAGGGGCGATCCCCACAAGTTATAACTATAAAATGTTTTAGGTAAACCTCACAGTAACCACAAGACAAAAAACCTATAGTAAATCCACAAAGGCTAAAGAGAAAGAAATAAAAGCATACTACTACATAAAATATCAAATCACCAATCAAAACAGCAAGAGAGGAAGAAAGAAAGAAAAAACCTACAAAACAACCAGAAAATATTTAACAAAATGTCAATGGTAAGTCTTTAACTGTCAATAATTGCCTTCATGTAAGTGGATTAAATTCTTCAACAAAAAGACATAGAGTGGCTAACTGGATTTTTAAAACTATATCTGAAAAAAGACCCAACTATATGCTGCCTACGAGAAATTCACCTCACCTTTAAGAACACACAAACTAAAAGTGAAAAGATGGGAAAAGACGTTCTGTGCCAACGGAAACCAAAAGAGAGCAGATACACTTAGAGTAGGCTGTAAGTCAAAAACTATAGAAAGAGACAAAGGGGTTTTTATATTATGATAAAAGGGCCAATTCATCAACAAGATATAACAATTATAAATTTATATGCACCCATCATTGGAGCACCTAAATATAGAAAGCAAATATTCATAGATCTAAAGAAAGAGATAGACTGCAATAGAATAATATGAGGGAACTTCAGTACCCCACTTTCAACAATGAGCAGATCATCCAGACACAAAATCAATAGAAAATATTGAACTTGATGTATACTCTAGACCAAATAAACCTAACAGACATAGACAGTATTGCACCCAACAGCAGTAGAATGCCACTTCTATTTAACATGATACTGGAAGTCCTAGACAGAATACACATTCTGATCGAGTGCACATGAAACATTTTCCAGGATAGGCCATAAATAAGGCCACAAAACAAGTCTTAACAAATTTGAGAAGACTGAAATCATATCAAGTATCCTGTCTGACCATGCTGCCATGAAAAAAGAAATCAACAACAGAAGGAAGTTTTGAAAATTCACAACTATGTGGAAATTAAACAACATGCTCCTGAACAACCAATGGGTCAAAAAAGAAATCAAAAGGAACATTTAAAAAATATTTTGGAACAAATGCAAATGGAAATACAATATGCTAAAATTTACAGGATAGAACAAAAGCAGTTCTAAGACAGAAGTTTATAGCAATAAATGCCTACATCAAGAAAGATGAAAGATCACAAATAGACAACTTAGCATTACACCTCAAGCACTGGAAAAACAATCAACTAAGCTAGTTACAAAGTTAGTAGGAAGACATAAATAATAAAGATCAGGAACAAATAGAAGATAGAAAAAATAGAAGAGATCAACCAAACTAACAGTTGTTTTTTTAAAAAAGATAAACAAAATTGACAAACCTTTAACTAGACTGATTAAGAAAAGTATGCAAAGACTCAAAATCAGAAACGAAAGAGGAGACATTACAACTGATACCACAGAAATACAAAGGATTACTTAAAAACTATTATGAACAAGTACATGCAAACAAATTGGATAACCTAAAAACTGGATAAATTCCTAGACATATGCAACCTCCTCCTGGGCCTAGACTTCCAAGTCAACTTTGACTCACTGTCCTCCTTCAAACACCACATTCAATGGTTTGCCAACTACTGAACAATATTCTTGCACATATCTTTTGAATCTATCAATTCCTTTCTACTCGTTCAGTAGATATTCACTGAAGAGACATATGCAACCTGCAGGGTTGAATCAGGAACCGGAACAGACCAACATCAAGTAAGGAGATTAAATCAGTGATAAGTCTACCAGCAGAGAAAAGCCCTGGACATAACAACTTCACTGCTGAATTTGATGAAACATGTAAAGAAGCAATACCAGTTCTTCTCTATCTCTTTCAAAAAACCGAAGTAGAGGAAATACTCCCAAACACATTCACAGGAATGGCCAGCATTACCAGGAACCCACCGCTCAACAAGACCAATATAAAATTAAAAAAAAAAAAAATACAAACCAATATCCCTGATAAACATATATGCAAATATACTCAATACAATACTAGCAAATTGAATTCAACAGCACATTTTAAAAAACCGTTTACCATGATCAAGTGGGATTTATCACAGGGATACAAAGATGGTTCAACTTACACACATCTATAAATGTGTGATAAACCATATTAACAGAATGAAAGACAAAAACCATCTCATCTCAATAAATGCAGAGAAAGCATTTGACAAAATTTAACATTCCTTCATGATTAAAAACTCTCAAAAAATAGGTATAGCATCAACAGATGAGTGGATAAAGAAAATATTACAACTGCACAGTGAAATACTATTCAATCTTTAAAAACAGAAATCCTGTCCTTTTCGAGGTGGATGAACCTGGAAGGCATTATGTTAAGTGAAATAAGCCAGGGGCAGAAAGACAAACACTGCATGATCTCACTTACATGTGGGATCTAAAAAAGTCAAACTCATAAAATCAGAGAGTAGAATGGTAGTTGTCAGGGGCTGGGGGAAGAGATGGGAGGTGGGAATGGAATTAGAAAGGTGTTTGTCAAAGGACACAAAATTTCAGTTAAACAGGAGGAATAAGTTCAGATCTTCTGTATTGTATGGTGACTACAGTTAATAATGTATGCTTGATAATTGATAAGAGAATACATTTAAGTGTTCTCACCACACAAATAAGTAATAGTTATGCTAATTAGCTCGAGTTAACCATTTCACAATGTGTGCATATATCAAAACATCATGTTGTACATAATAAATATATACCATTTTTATTTTTCAACTAAAAAAACATTGTAAAAACAAGTGTTTGATGCTCATCTCAAACTATGAAAAGCCTGCGATGCAAAGGGTTTCTGTGGTGTAGCAGTTACCGTGGTACCTAACACGGGGAAGGTCGTCTGTTTGAAACCCAGTGGAAACAACAGATTTCTTTCGTCTCCCAGAATCCGACCGGGAGTGGCCTCCTCTTCCTGGGAGTCCAGAGCTGCCAGGAACAAGTGAAAATCTTGCCTGTATTTTTTAAAAAAAGATCATCGTCCTGGGATAGCTGTGCCAAATTAGCAGGCTGCTCTGGGCGGGCGCTCCCCAGCTGGGACGTGCTCTCTTCTCTCCCTCAAAATCTGGAACGTGAAATCTTACAGCACCAGATTTCCAGTGTGCACTTTCTCCTGGTTACATTTTTTTCCCTCTCCCTCTCAGAGGCATAGACATCGCGCTCTTGCTCTTTAAGTCGAGTCCCTTAACAATGGAGATATTTCTTATGTTCTGAGCCGCCAAAAATGGTGGGTAATCGTGGCACATCTACTCCGGAATAAAAGAAAGGACAGAGAGTCTTGGGGCAGGTGAGGAATTAGCTCAAGTGGTAGACTGCTCGCTTAGCACGTAAGAGGAGGTGAGATCGATGCTCACCTTCTCCAGGTTGTTCTTTACAGACATGGGGTCACAGCTGACTAATAGTCTGAGGGTCTCCATAGTGTAGAGATGATCTCACTTGCCTAACATGAGATGAGGCCTGCAGATATAAAACAGATGTTACATAATTATAAAGTGTCTATTCACCAAAGGGATGCAACTGTCCTAAATAAGTCTGTTTCTGGCCACAGAGCTTCAAAACTTATAAACAAAATGGATAAAACAGAAAGAAAATAGAAAAATCCAATTATAGTTGTAGATGTTAACACTCCTCTCAGTAATTAATAGATTCAGTAGAAAACAAATCAGCAAACAGAGAACTGAATGACACCATCCACCAAAGGATCTAATAGACTTTATAAAGCAAAATCATGATTTATGTAGAAAGAAGTGCCAAAAATTCAAAGAAAAGTAAGATCATATTATGACTAGGAAATCATAAATGGTCAGAGTAGAGAAAAGTGACATTATTGAAACTGATATTTCTGAAACAGTTACTGAAATAAATGACAGGAAGACTGACAGTGGTGAATCTGTAAGTGACTCTTTTCTTGTCCATTTTTATCCTGCTTTTTCTTGAGGTCTGGGCTGGCCAGATTTCTGTTGAACTTCCTGGGCCTATTACAGTGTTTAGCACAGAGCGTCTCTTCAGTGAATAGCTACTGAATGAGTAGAAAGGAATTGATAGATTCAAAAGACACGTGCAAGAATATTGTTCAGTAGTTGGCAAACCACTGAATGTGGTGTTTGAAGGAGGACAGTGAGTCAAAGTTGACTTGGAAGTCTAGACCCAGGAGGAGGTTGAGAATTAGATATTTGGTGTATGAATGAATAAACTACTGTGGAGAGAAACAGGCAGAGAGATCATGAGCAGGAACAGAGAAAAGACTCACATTTTGGAATCTAAAAAAATTTTTTTTCTCAGTTCAGGCTTTGCCACCTAGCAGCTCTGGCACCTTATAAACAATAATTATCTGAGCCTCCACTACATGCAGAAAGTGCACACTAGATGGCTGGGCGAGGTGGCTCACACTTGTAATCCCAGCAGTTTGGGAGGCCGAGGCAGGTGGATCAGAAGGCCAGGCGTTCAAGACCAGCCTGGCCAACTTGGTGAAACCCTGTCCCTACTAAAAATACAAAAAATTAGCCAGCTGTGGTGGCGTGCACCTGTAATCCCAGCTACTTAGGAGGCTGAGGCAGGAGAGTCACTGGAACCTGGGAGGCAGAGATTGCAGTGAGCTGAGATCACACCACCGCACTCCAACCGGGGGTGACAGTACAAGACTCTGTCTCAGAGAAAAAAAAAAAGCAAAGAAAGTGCACATTGGGATACATCATTTTGTCAGTGAAATTCAACTGGACTATGTAAATGCAATAAATCTCATAAATAGCACACAAGAAAAAAGGCGGTTACTATTATAAGTGTTTTGTGTCTTTTGTAGATGCAATGTCTCCAGTCATGAAGATGCAAGTGGAGATGTAAAAGGAAGACAGTAGTATGGTCAAGAGACATGTTTGATGACTATTTCTTCATTCATTTATTCAGTTCATCAGTGAACTATCATATACTGAGAATCTCCTGTCTCTTTTCAACAAAGGAGGCCGTGGAAGGGGTAAGAGTGACTAAGGTCTCTGAGGAAAGGAAAAGCCGTATCATTGGGCCGCAAGAGGGAAAAAGCAGCAAAAGACAGGTACAATTATTTTGGTAATGCAGAACCCAGATGGTGCTTTGAATACTGGAAAGGTGTAGACTTCTCTGGTCTTGGGTGTGAATCTTCCTAGTGCAGCATTGATTGATAGGGAGTAATTTCCAAGTGGGATTGATTGTGGTTTTTGAAAGCTGAAACCACAAAGCAGATGGGAAATAAACTTCGGTAAGGTGGGTGTTGGCTAGGATTAAGCTGGAGCCTTCTTGGCGCAGCCAGCAGCGTGTCAGTCTCATAATGTGAAGATCCTGGGTTAGAACTTCAGAGAGGGTACTGCTTTTGCCATAGAAGTTAGATACACTAAATATCAGATCAGAACATAAATGCTGTCAGATAAGGATTTGAAGACTGACTCAGTATTTCAGAAAATGGAAACATTATTTAAGTTGTTTTTTCGACTTTCCGGTGGTTTGAGTAAAATGAATGGTGAAAACAGAAGAGTAAATTGAGGAGATTATATCAGAAACTACATGCCATGTCATGTAATTTGTCTTTCTAGCTGACAGAGGAAGCAGGGGAAATTTCTCTTTCAATTTCCTGTTCTCAGGGTCACCCAACAGTAATTATTGGGTGAGTGGGTGAAGTAGTTTATTCTTTTAATCATCCAACAAATATTTCTTGAACACATATCTTGTTAAGAGGCTGTTTTGGGTTAAGAGTGAATACACCTCAAAGATTCCTACCTTTGTGAAACTAAATCCCAGCTGGGAGGAGTGGGGAGAAATAGGAAACAAACAAAAATATGTAAGAAGTGGTGTGACGATGTCTTCTGTGACAGAATCACTAGGCAGTAAAGGGTTTGGGAATGTGCAAGTGGCACATTCACCTTTCAGGAGAACAATCGGGGACTTTGTCACCTTGACAACTTTAGCCTCGCCCTCTGCTAGTCATCTTGCTGGGACCCGTGTGCCCATGTTTTTCTAACACTGTCATAAAAGTACTTTTAACCTATAAAGGCAACTGGGGGTTATGAGAGCTTTTTGCACAGAAGGCTAATTGGCTTCGTTGAAAAACTGATGATACAAGAGGACTGACTGGGGTGGTAAATCCCTCACATGTTTCTTCAAACGAAAAATGAGGACTGTGGGATTCTCTGGCTGGATCTCAACACCTAGAGATGGGTGCGGGCAATAGGAACTCCTCAGTAAGTATTAGCTACTGCCTTGGTTGCCTTCTCCCTGTGGAAAGCCGGCCTCTCACACTGATTTGTATCATAGGCATTAATGAGGGCTTGACTGTAACAATATCTGATAAGAGATTTTGGTGCAGTTCTGTTGTCATGACTGATTTGCTCATTTGGTAGGTGGCATCCAACTTCTTCTGAACATAAAAATAAAATAAAATAGATTATGGAGGAATAGAATATACATACATAGTAAGGTATTAGTAAGGTATTATTATAAAGTATGGATTCGGATAAAATAATCTAATTAAGAATTTGTGCATGATTATTTTAAAATTCTTTTGAATCTTTTTTTTCTTTTTACCTGTTTTTCAAGTCTCCAGTTTTTGTCATCCTCCCAGCAGGTCAGAGGGATAACTAATGGTCAGAAGAAATCATCCAGCAACCACCATAGCACTATCTCCTGCCTGCAGATGCCTCTTTTCATTCAGCCTCTATGGGAAGTAGCAGCACCATCCAGTTCTCAGAGAGCAAGGTCTAGACTAACTCAGCTAACCCCATGTGCTAAGCTGACCTAACCCCACTTACCCCAGTGGATTTACAGATTGAGGTTAGAACCCAGCAGAGTTCTCTTCCTGCAAAGAATAGGCTTCCCTCTAAGGTTTCACACTGATACCGGATGAGGAAAGAGCCCTAAACGGCTTGAAAAACTGGATGCTCTTTGGGCAAAGCAGGAAGCCCTGCTATGGAAGAGCATAATTTGAGTATAAATCAGGGTCTCAGTACAAAGAGCGTGCTCAGGAGGTCACGGTGGTTAAGCAGAGAATCTGAGCAGAATATCCCTGGTGATGAGAAACTATCTTGTTGAGAGAAGAATCACAGTAATTGAGGACTTAGAATAAAGGCTAAAAATGATTCAAAGAGAATGCAAAAAGAATCAGGCACAAATCCTTTACTACATTCTGTTGTATGAATCTCACCTTACTCTGTGTTTGTATTCTGTTCCTCCACAATCTTTGTTTTTATTTTATTTTTATGTTCGCAGAGATGTGTTGGTGCCAACTAAATGAGCAAAACAGCAGTGACTAAAAAAAACACCACTGTACGAGAAGAACAAAACTAAACTAAAACTGCACTGAAGATGTTTCTCATCAGCTCTCGAGAGCAGGTTCCGTAACGGTGAACGATATTCCACATACAAGGACTTTCTCAGCACCATGCATTGGCAATTGAACTGGATGTTTACTATTTGTTATATAAGTTGGTCGATATGGCTTCCAGCTTCCCTCAGTATCATTATCCAAATTTTGTAGATGATAATGAAGGTCAAAGGAGTTATACCATTTTCCTCAAATCATGTAGCTTTAAATAGGAAAACCAGATATGAAAAGCAGATTTCTTTTTAAGTTAAAAAACAAAAACACAAGCTCTTGTTTTACCCTAGCACATAGTCTCCCCGTCTGTTTTCTCCACACCAGGGCATTCATGTAACATTCATTCACATAACAAATACAGATCAAGGCTGGGCATGGTGGCTCACGCCTATAATCCCAGTACTTTGGGAGGCCGAGGCAGGTGGATCACAAGGTCAAGAGATCGAGACCATCCTGGTCAGCATGGTGAAACCCTGTCTCTACTAAAAATACAGAAAAAATAAGCTGGGCATGGTGGCGCGTGCCTGTAATTCCAGCTACTCGGGAGGCTGAGGCAGGAGAATTGCTTGAACCCAGAAGGCAGAGGTTGCGGTGAGCTGAGATCGCGTCATTGCACTCCAGCCTGGGTAACAAGAGCGAAAACTCCGTCTAAAAAAAAAAAAATACAGATCAGTGAGTGGATTCATTCATCAGATATAAATTCAGAATCTCTTTTGTGTCTTCCACAGTAGGCTCCAGACTTCCCAGTGTCCTTGTCTCCTCTCCGTCAAATCTCACTACCCAATGTCTTGACAAATACTGTAGATCCTTCCTGCACAACATCTCCAGAATTATTTTCTTCCTTTTCACTTCACCTCTGTCTTCATCCACGCTACCGTGTTTCTGGAGGATGCAGTCTGCACTCTGAAGTGTGATGGACACTGGCGCTGGCTGGAGAAAGACTCCTGCCATCCACCTCAGGAGCCGACACAATAAACGTGGATAAACCTCAATCCTTTAATGTCTGTATGACTTCTTTCCCTTTCTCTCCAATTCCTTTTTCTCAGGTTCAAGCTCTGACAGTCAAAACTAAACACCTTTCTCTAACATGTTTCTTTAATTATTTAAGCCTTTTGCCTGGGATTTTCTCAATTACTCTTGAGTTTTCATAATACTCTCCCAACTTATCTCCAAGTGGCCAGGATTTTTATTCAGTGCTTCCTCCATGTGTATTTCACACACACACATAGCCTGGTTTTCTCCACCCTGTGTCCACTCCTATGCATAGCTCAATTTTGATTCTTACGCTCTGATATGATCTTGTCTCTTTCTCTTTACGGCTCTACTCTGTAATTTTGTTGTTGTTCTGACATATAGTTGGACATGTAACTGGTACCTGGCACACCTCAGCAAGGAGGCAACCCACCTCTCAGATTAGTAAAGGAAGCACTCTCCAGGCGTTTCCTAGTGCAGGGGTCAGCATGCTGGCCTCATTCCTGAAAGGGCCTAGTTGTGAAAACAGCAGGAGCTTTTGCCTTCCAGAAATCTGTACCATCTCACAACTCAGAGAGTCTCAGCTACAAGGAAGAAGTGATAATGCCATCCCGCTTTTATAAACACACACACACACACACATTAAATCATTTATTCCTTTTTAATTATTTAATTATTATTATCTTTTTTATTTTAATCTGTGACACGTTAGCCAGGCAGGCCTAGACAGGTCCTCCTTTGCTGGGACGTGCCTTTTTCTGTCCCAGAATACCCTAAACTTGACATTTTGGCAGTGCAAGTTTTCCCTCTGTGCATTTCTCCTTGTTCCCTTTTCTCCTGCTTCCTGGCAGAGAACGCGTAGCCACTCTGCTCTTGCCCTGGGAAATCAATGAGATCTGCCCTTAGAGGAGCCCTGCTTTCAAGCTGTAGGCCCTGAAATCACCTGTGTTCAATGCCACCTGCTAAGGACAAACAAAGCTTCTCCAGCAAGGGGAATTAGCTCAAGTGGTAGAGCGCTTGCTTAGCATGCAAGAGGTAGTGGGATCGATGCCCACATTCTCCAGACTTTATTATTTGGACCTCAGGTCTCCAAACCCGAGCCCGTGTCTAAGCACAGAATGCTGCTTTGGCTCAAGATGTAGGGACAGCAACAATACAGGCTGGTGACGGCTTTCTACTCACATTCAGTATAGCATAGATCTACCGTGTAGTTATATTCTGTTTCTTCAAGGAGCTGTGAAACCAAGGGACACAAACTATTGCTCTTTTCTCCCTATTTCTGCCTGCAGCTTGGTCCTAAATGAGAGACATTCGTGAAAAGTACAGGGAAGAGCCACCTGGGTAAGTATAGCCCAGGCTTTCTGGTCAGGGGACTGAAACCAGGATGTGTCAAGTAACTAGAATGTGCCTGGACAGATACTGTAGAAAGCAAATCCATAAAGTTGTTTGTGAACTTGTGGATCCCCCTGCCAGCTGTGGATAAGTGACTCTAATCCCAACAATTTACCTAAAAAGAGCCTGAGAACTGAACTGAGCAATGGCCCACTTTCCAGCCGTCACTGACCACTGGGTCACGCACACTCCGGAGACCTCTGAATAGCCCTGTAAAGGCTTTGTAAGTAGAGTTATCTTTGTAACAACAACACATGGAAGGCTGGCAGGTACTTGGAACTTGAATACAAGGCAATTGTGTGCCTGCAAAAACAAAAATAGCAATACTGTCCTTAAGAATTCAACAAGACACAGTGTCTCCTCACATAATTTGAAGAAGTCCAGGTTACAACCCCGAAATATTCACCATTAAGAAACTGTTGGGAGGCCAAGGCAGGCAGATTACGAGGTCAAAAGATAGAGACCATGGTGAAACCCTGTCTCTGTTAAAAAATACAAAAATTAGCTGGGCATGGTGGCACGTGCCTGTGGTCCCACCTACTCAGGAGGCTAAGGCAGGAGAATTGCTTGAACCCAGTAAGTGGAGATTGCAGTGAACTGAGATGGTGCCACTGCACTCCAGCCTGGTGCCTGGCAACATAGCAAGACAAAAAAGAAAGAAAGAAACAAACAAACAAACAGAGAAACAAACAACAGGGAGATTGTAATTTACTTGACAAAGAGAATCCTCAAATGGTACTGAAAGGATACAATGTCAAACTCATCTGACACATGTGTTAAAGCAATTGTTAAAACAATGCTCCTAGAATAACAGGATAACATTCCTAAAGTGAATGAAAAGGTGGAAAGTCTCAGCAAATACATGGAATATGTAAACACCAATTTTAAACTTACGAGTTAAAAAATGTATTATTCAAAGTATTAGGGCAAATAAAAAGCTTAATTGGATGATCTCAGTAACAGAATGCAGATGAGTAGAAAAAGAAGTCAATGAACTTGAAAACAGTCAAGAATATCTACATAATGTGAACTATAGAGAGAAAAGAGTATTTCTCTAAATAATCCAAGCCTCAGGGACAAACAAAAAATAACCTTAACATTCACATTATTGTAATCTGGAAAGAAGAGGACAAAGGGATCTTTGTGACAGAAAACTTTGAAGAATTAATGGCTGAAAATGTATCAAATTTGTCAAAAGATATAAACCAGATTGTTAAAGTTCAGCAAACCTCAAAGAGGATAAACCCAAAGAAACCCACAGCAAGTCATATCAGAATCAAACCTCTGAGCACTAAGAAAACACAAAGCAGTGTTGGAGGCAGCGGGAGGAACGAAAGCCGAACTACAGTATGAATGACTGTGGATTTCTCACCAGGAATCACGGGGCCAGAAAAGTATCATAACGTTCAGTGACTGCCAAAGGAAAAAGACCTATCAACCCAGAATTCCATGTGGAGGAAAGTCTCTTTCAGACATAAAGGCAAATAAATGCATTCTCACTGGAAGGTAAATGAATACGTTCTCATTCCTGGCAAGACTGCTGGAAAGGAATTAGCAAAGATTCAAGATAAGAAAAGTGATACTGGAAGGAAACTTAGAAAATCATCAGTGAAGGAACAAAAGCAGAAATAGAGAACATCTGGGTAGATGTACAGACTATTATTCTTCTCTTGAGTTCCTTAAAATATGTTTGATGATTGAAGGCAAGAATTGTAACTTTATCTGATGCAGTTGTCATTGTACGTACACATACTATACACATAACATCAAAGGGTAAAGGGCCTAACTCTTGATGAAGTTTCTATATTCAACTTGAATGGCAAAATATTGATTCCAAGTATACTGTGAAAAGTTACATAGGTATATAGTAATCCCTAGACCTCTTACTAATCAGAGTTAAATAAACCAAAACAAGACAGAAAGAGGAATGTAGGAAAATTAAAACAAAGGGAACAAAGGTTAATAAATTATTAAATAGATCTATCTAAAAATGTATCTATAATAACATTACATGTAAATGATTTAAACCCATTAATTAATAACGAGATCATCAGAATGTATTAAAAATAAATATGCTGAATATAAGAAAGGTGCCTGCATATATAAGGTATATATAAGAATAAAAGTCATATAGCAGATTGAAAGAAAACAGTGGGAAAAGATGCCTCACGCAAGCATTAACCAAAGAAAGCTGTGCTGTATATATCAAACTCAGACAGAGTGGACTTGAAAGCAGAGACACTTTCTAGGAATAATGAGGGCTGCTACATGATTACGATTGTCATTTTCCAGGGGAATACTCTCCCAAATGTAGATGAGGACACAGAGCTTCAAAACTCATATGAGAAATTGGATAAGCCAGGTAAAAACAGAAAAATCCAAATATAGTTGCAGGCATTAACACTCCTCTCTCAGTTATTGGTAGACCTGGTACACGACAAATCAAACATATTGGAGAATTGACAACACCAGCCACCAATGGATCTAATCAACTTCATAACACGAAATAAAAATTTAGGCAGAAAGCAAAGACAGAAATTAAAAGAAAGTAAAATCATGTTATAACCAGGAATGTAAGAGTGGTCCAGCATACAGAAGAGTGCTATTATTGAAAGAGTTGCTTAGTTATTTTGAAATATGTTTGAATGAGTTACTTAGCTGGAAATGACAGAAAGAAAGAGAAGGGTGAATCTGGAGGTGGATCTTTTCTTGTCCATATTTATCTTGTCTTTTTTTGCGGTCTAGGGTGTCTGTACTTCCTCTGAATTACACGATCCTACTACAGCATCTGGCACAAAGCGTCTCCCTAGTGAATGTGTACTGTGAGTGGAAAGTCACTGATAGATTCAAAAGAGTTGTGCAAGAATAATGTTCATTATCTGGCAAATCATTTAATGTTGTGTTTGAAGGACAATGAGTCAAAGTTGACCTGACAGGTAAGCCCAAGGCCAGACGTGGTGGCTCACTTCTGTAGTCCCAGCGCTTTCAGAGGCCAAGGTGATCAGATCCCTTGATAGTAGGTGTTTGAGACCAGCCTTGGCAACATGGTGAAACCCTGTCTCTACAAAAAAAAATTACAAAAATTGTCCAGGTGTATGGTATGCATCTGTAGTCCCAGCTACTCAGGAGGCTGAAATGGGAGGTTCGCTTAAACCTGGGAGGTGGAGATTGCAGTAAACAGAGATCACGCCAGTGTCTGGGCAACAAAGTGAGACCCTGTCTTAAATAAAATAAAACAAAACAAAACATAAAAATTAAGCCCAGGCCAGTTGCAGTGGATCATGCCTGTAATCCCATCAGTCTGAGAGGCCGAGGCGGGCAGATCACATGAGGTCAGAAGTTTGAGACCAGCCTGGCCAACATAGTGAAACTCCGTCTCTACTAAAAATACAAAAATTAGTGGAACATGGTGGCAGGCACTTGAAGGCCCAGCTGCTGGAGAGGCTGAGGCAGGAGAATCACTTGAACCCAGGAGGTGGAGGTTGCAGTGAGCCGAGATTGCTCTACTGGGTGACAGCATGTGACTTCATTAAAAAAAAAACATTAAGCTCAAAAGGTAAGTAAAGAGGTGGTCTAAAATTAGATACTTGGTGTATGAATGAACGGGCTTAAGTACAAAGAAGGCAAG